TTAAATTCAGCTTGAAAACCGTTACATACAACTCTATATTTATCATTTTAGTATAAGAAGTTCAAAGTACCGTTTGATAACAGAATTAAATTTTAGTTTATCGTATAATATTAATATCACAAAATCTGTTCTTTGTGTTAATTCCAAGGCCCTCGCACTCGGGGATTTTGGGAGTTTAACCCTCGTATTCGAGAAGAATTAAACAATTACAATTAAACTTTATATTGTACTGTACAATACATAATATATTTATTTTGTACCGATTCAGTTCTTTTAGTATATTATATTATGTTACTCTATAAGTTATATTTATATTATAAAAATAAATAAACTACGTTATGAAAAAATAATGCGCTTTTTTAAAATTTTATCATCTTAAATATCTTGATTCATTCCATATTATGAATTCTTTCTATTTCTGTATAAGTCTGAAGAATTATTTTAAAAATTAAATCTCGAATTATAAGATTTTTTTAATTTTATATTTCACCATTTCATTTCTTTGCGTTCACAAATGATTTTATAAATATCTTATATATTTTAACCACCATGGAAAATTATCTTTAATATTTTAAAAAATTATTTCCATATCTTCATTTCAAATACTTTCTTAAATTGATCAAGTTTTTAAAGTTCGGTTATTAAAATCAATTAAAATGTTTTCTGTTTTATTTCAGTAATTTAGATGCTGTACATGATTACCCATGTTAAGAAAGCAGTCCTAAATGCTGGCTTAATTATCTGTTATCAAGAGACTGCTACTAATGTATATGGTAGATTAATTAATTTCTACAATTAACTTGTCTATTCATCAAAATGTCACTTAGCATTCAGTTGAAAAACATTAAATTGATTTTCAGTTTCTTTTCTTATTATAGTTTTTATTAAATTTATTCAAAAACAAAATTTAATAAAAACTGTAATAAGAAAAGAGACTGAAAAAATTATTATATTTTTTAAATTTTTTTTGTAAGATTTTATTTCTGCATCATTTCAAAGTCATTATATTTTTGGATCTCAATTTATTTTTTAATTTCGTTTATTTTAAGTATGTAAGTTAGCATTCATATAATAGTAAAAAGACGAAAATTATCATATTGGAAACTTGTTTAACATAAAGTTCGCAATAAGAATATAATACTGCTGTAGTCTCTTTATGTTTTAATGGTCCCCTATAAGATATACGTAGTAAATGAACATACTAATTAAAATTAGCTTGTTGTTTAACTTTTATGGCTACTTTAAAAGCAACGAAATTACTCAAGAATGAAATGACTGTAATTGTAACTTTACATCAAAATCAACTTTGCTGTATCATTTTATGTTGAGTATCAGACAAAAATATATAACAATATTGAAATTAATTTTAAAATATGGAAATTATAAATTTTTACTTTTTAAAATTATATATATATTTTTTTTATTTTATAAAAAATCAGTAATTATAAATTTGTTGTTATTAATACTTGTTACAGCTATGTTATGTTACTTCATTTATTTCACCACCAATTCTCATTTGTAAACAAAAATTCTTTATAACTAAAAATTAAAATAGTTATTTTTGTAAAATTATCTTCATTTTTTTCCTTTAAGTGATACGTTAAGTACTATACATTAAGTACTATATTAAGTACTCAATTAAGTACTATAATAAATAACAAAGAAAACAAAATTGAGAATTAGAAATTTATTTATTTCTAAAGTATAATTTAATTTTAGAATTTAAATATATTTAATGCTTAAATTTAAATTGAGTTATAAAAAATATCAATTCAAGCAAGCTACATAACTTACTTTATGAGTATCAATTTAATTATATAAGCTAATTCGTAATTATTTAACATTTTATCCTTAACTATATAAAGAGGTACACAAATGTATAACTTATAAAAATACTTTTAATATAAATGCCGCTATAAATAAGCTAAGTTTTAATTGATCCTAAGTCTATAAACTATTATTTTGATATGTCTGAAAGTTGAGGATTTCCTTACTTTTAGTATCAAATATGCAGTTTGAATACTGTCCACTTAAATTCATGTAAATTTGCTTTAAAAAATTAATAATAATAATAATAATAATAAATTAATTTAAAAATTATGTCTACTTTCGAATTTCATTCTGTACATAAATGCTTTAGAAATTAGTAAACTGTACAAGTATTTAGAATAATTAAAGAAAACATTAATCCATTACAGGATTGTATAATGGTCTCATACAAAGAAGTCGTCTGAATGTAATGTGGACAACAAACAAAACGATCTTAAAATGAAAACTGTCAATTGTTTTTAAATAGATTGGTATTTTTTATTTTTTAAGATTATATAATAATTTTCGTTGTTATTTTGTTATTGAGAATCTAGTAAAGCACCCAAAAGACATTTAAGATTATTCAGTTCAAGTAATCTTAAAGATCCATAGATTGAACATGATAACATAATCATATAAACATATACTTCTTTTGTTTTGTTTATATATCAATTAACTTGTCTATTCATCAAAATGTCACTTAGCATTCAGTTGAAAAACATTAAATTGATTTTCAGTTTCTTTTCTTATTATAGTTTTTATTAAATTTATTCAAAAACAAAATTTAATAAAAACTGTAATAAGAAAAGAGACTGAAAAAATTATTATATTTTTTAAATTTTTTTTGTAAGATTTTATTTCTGCATCATTTCAAAGTCATTATATTTTTGGATCTCAATTTATTTTTTAATTTCGTTTATTTTAAGTATGTAAGTTAGCATTCATATAATAGTAAAAAGACGAAAATTATCATATTGGAAACTTGTTTAACATAAAGTTCGCAATAAGAATATAATACTGCTGTAGTCTCTTTATGTTTTAATAGTCCCCTATAAGATATACGTAGTAAATGAACATACTAATTAAAATTAGCTTGTTGTTTAACTTTTATGGCTACTTTAAAAGCAACGAAATTACTCAAGAATGAAATGACTGTAATTGTAACTTTACATCAAAATCAACTTTGCTGTATCATTTTATGTTGAGTATCAGACAAAAATATATAACAATATTGAAATTAATTNACCCAAAAGACATTTAAGATTATTCAGTTCAAGTAATCTTAAAGATCCATAGATTGAACATGATAACATAATCATATAAACATATACTTCTTTTGTTTTGTTTATATATACAGTATATATATAAACAAAAATTTTCTTCTTAATGTTACTAAACTTTTTATACAAAATAAATATTTTAAATGAGATATATGAATTTTATATCAAAATATTTATAAATAAATTGTTTATAAATATAGGCTATAATGTATTATAATAAGACATAAAGGTTTGAATTTCATATATAGCATATATTAAAAAATAAAACAAATTTTCAAAAAATAATAAACTGAAAAAACCTACAAAGGTAAAATTATTAATAGGTCTAAATCACACATCTTTGTTATTTTGAAAAGATAATAAAAATACCTTAAAGATAAGAAAAGATGGCATGCCTTTTGTTCCTATATTGACAAATTATTAATTAAAAAAGTGTATTACTTTAATTGGATATTTATCCTATATTAAAATCTAATAGGCCTATTAAATAAACAATTAAAGTTCAATGATAATAATTAATTAATTAATTAATTAAGCTTCAAATTATTCCTTAAAAAATGAATGTTTTTTTTTAAATGGAAGAATGATTTTGAGTTAAAACAAATATTTACAGGGAGAGAACTAAAACATCAATATTGTGATCTATGCTTTTTATTACTTCATTAATTTTTCTATTTTAAGATTTTTTTGCATATTTCATAATCTAGTAAAATATATTGTTTTTGACGATTTATCATCCTTCATTAAAAAACTGAAGAATTATTATACTTCAATTAAATTGAGATAAAAACAATTTTTTTTAATATGGGCAATTCCGAATATATTGGATAACATTAGAACATATAGAAAATTTTACGGTATTTTCTCCAATCGTTAATTAATAAAATGTATTTTCTGATAAAAAAAAAAAGACCAGTATGATCTATGTATCTACACATTACAGTACATTATTTTGTATTATGACAACATTTTTATATTTTTATATTATTTAATTCATATCATGTTAATTAAATTCTATTTAAATTTTCTTTACAATAAAAATAGAAAAAAATAAGTGAAAAAAATAAAATTTATTAATAAGCTTATTCTATGTTAAAGTTTTTATATAATCACAAAAATAATTTGGATTTATTATCATTATAACATTTTAATGATTAAATATCTTTACTTTTTACAAATTTTACTTAAATTGACCCAAATAACAGAGAAATTTTATATTGTAAATTTATAAATTTTTCAACAAGAATTTCTGTTTACATTTTATTGAATTGGTTTGAAAGAAAAGTAAGCCTAAGAAAACTTTGTACTGAAAGTCAAATAAATATCTATTAAAACTTAATATTTTCCATTATATTAAATTTTAAAAATTTCTACAAAGTCATTTGATATTTTTTATTGTCAGTTTCTTGTAGAATTCAAGTGATTGATTAAATATCAGACATTTGAAAACAAGAATGTTGCCCTTTTAAAACATTTGTTTGAATAAGTTTTGTAATTTTTATTCTGAAATTTATAAATTCAAAATCTTTCTCATTAATGTAAATGGATCAACTAAGCTTGATGGATTATCCAGAAAAGCAAGTTTATAAAGATGAAAGGGAATAATCTATAATGAGTAATGGGGAAGAAATAAATGTTATATTGGACATTTTCGATTACTTTCGAACTGATATTCTAACGAACAATTATAAATATATTTAAAATTTTATAAGCTGCCTAAAAATTTAATTGTTTACTTCACAACTAAAAAACAATGTAATTATTTATATCTTAACTATAAATCTCGATTACTAAAAATATTCGAATTTTATATTGTTAAATTATAATTTAAATTAAATGTAGCAAATTCGTATTATTCTCTTTTATATTATTTTATTATTATTTTTTTAAGATGAATTTATTCTGTGGTAGTGTCGCCATCTGTGGGTTAAAATAATCAAAATGGCGGCTAACATGTGTTTCTTGATTCAAACAAGGAGATTTAGTATAACACAACTTGTAAACGGGAAAAGAAATTTTAAAAATTTTTATTTTCCTAATAAAAGAGGACCTAAACAATATAGAGAAAATTTAAGAAAGAATAATTTAGTAGATCGTAAGTAAAGTTATGGGTATATTTTACTTATTTTATTAAAGATAGTATAAATTCATTAATATTACATTGATGCAAAACATTTAAATAATAATTTAATGACATAAAATCATGGCAAAATTTTTCCTTTTTGGAATGTTCTTTTTAATATTCTGATTTTGTTTCAAATGTAAATATTTAACACATATAAACATTCACCAGAATTTTCAATGTTATAGTTTCCTCAGTACTGTCATACATATTATTGTACTTAGATTATAAACTGGTAAAATATTTTAGGTTTATATAATACAGTGAACACCATATCAATCCAGCAAGACTTGTTTATTATTAACATTTTTGATCATTTTAAATGATCTTTAGTGGGTTGTGATTGTTAAGTTCGATATACAACTAAACAGAACTGTCACACATGTCAGGTGTGTTTATGTAATCCTATTGTTAAGAATGTGGGGTGAGATTTTTCTGCCTAGAGAGGAAGAAATTGTGCATTTTTCTTTGGTGTGTCAGGTCAGTGCTGACCAGGGTGTGTAGCTGTATGGCAAGTAAGGAACCAGTGTTGTGCTTATTAATTAATTGTAGGGTGCCAGAGTGTTGCTCACTTGTGGAGAAATAAATTTCAAATATTTTTTTGTTGTGTTATAAAGAATTTGTGTACTGTGTTTAGAACATGTAAATGGGAACATTTAAAACAACATTCTACAATAATCAAATGGAAAAATTGCAAATGCTAAAAGAATGCAAATTGAACATATAAAAGACTCAATGTTGCCACCTTTTCAAACTTGCTGACCTGGACATTTTAAAATTAGGATGTTATACTTAGAAATAAAAAAAATTTAGTTTTTTTTTATTGTGAGTAGAATTTGTTTTGTGTCAACCAATCTTTATTAAATTTACTAGTTCACTTCCTCTTTTTTTGGATTTTTAATTTCTTGAGTCTTCATATTAAATACTGTACAGGTAACCCCCATATAACACGGCACTTCTATAGCACGGATTCGCTCTAACACGGTTCGAGAATTGGTACCATCCCCCGTATAACACGGTACTTTTATAGCACGGATTCACTCTGACACGGTTCGAGAATTGGGTAAAACCCTCGTACAACAGGAAATGTAATAAATTTTTACATACTTAAGTAATAATAGTTCACGAAAATTATTATTTTCGTGAACTATTAGTACTTAAGTATGTAAATTTTCTCTTCTCGCCTTCTGTCGATACACGTGGTCCTTCTCGAAACTTGTTTCAATGTTGCCAGATCGCGACGCTTCTGCTTCTGATGTTGCCGAATGTTTTTCCCTTATTCCATACTTGCTTTATTCTTCATAAGTGCTTAGCACCATATAAGGAAATTTATAAAGACCTTTTAACTAGAAGCAAGCAATCTAAAATTACATACATTTTGCAAAAGGTAAAGCATGGATCTGAAGATAATGCAGAAAAATGCTCAGAGGATAAGGATAACTTGCCAAAAAGAAAACGCTCTCGGTTAATTAATAGTGTTTTTAGTGATGACGAAGAAAATATTGTTTAATTTATATTAATATGTATCACTTAAAAAATTTTAATGAAGATATTTATCTTAATTATGAAAATATACCATCATGTTTTTTTAATTTTTGGAACCTAACCCTCCTTTTCGTATTAGTTCTTTGTTTCGTATAACAGAGATTCACATAACACGGCAATTTTTTGGAACGTAACTACCATGTTATACGGGGGTTACCTGTATTTACTCGCATATAAGACAACACTCATTTCAGCTTTTTATTATATATTTTCCAAACATTTAAACTTGTCTTAGGATATTAAATATTTACCAAATACAAATTTTAATTGAAAATATTTGTGGTGTCTGCTGGAATTATGATAAATGGTGCACGGTGACTATTAGGAGCAAGTCTTCATGAAACTGGACCTCACAAATAAGTAAATAACTATAGTACTTTTATCTAGTCCAGCAGCTTTATTTCTCTATAAAACAAATTTTTTCAATCTTTCCCTAAGATCATCTTCAGGTATTAATGAAACAAAAAATGGAACATCTGAAGAATATGATGTATTTCAAATTTGAAAACTCCAATCAGGTGCATGGCTAAGAATGACATACTTAAATTACTGAACAACTCAAAGAATTGGAAGCCCTGGAGATTTTTAAAGCAAACCAACTTGGAGGATGTATTAATTATAAAGAAGAGAAATGTATTTCTCATGCATGACAAGCATATTTTGATAAACATTTATAATTTAAGTACATTATTCTTATACATGTATCTGATTGGAGTTTTCAGATTTGAAATACATTGTGTTCTTCAGACATTTCATTTTTTGTTTGATTAATACCTGAAGATTATCTTAGGGGAAGATTGAAAACATTTTTTTTTTTTTTTGAGAAATAAAGCTGCTGGACTATTTAAAAGTACTCTGGTTAGTTATTCGATTGTTAGAAGCTGTTCTACTTATTTACCTCTATACAGTAAAGATTATACTCATTGTATAAGTCAGTTTCTAGTTTCAGAGAGATGTTTTCACTCATAAAGATTCAATTTATATGCCTGTATATATATGGTATTTATCTATTTATTTATTTATCTAAATATTTAAATTTATCTATTATTATAAATATTCTAGTTTAATATGTAAATTTTGTTATTCATAATTATGTGTGGTTTAACTTTATTGATGCTTATTGTAGCTGTATATCTTATGTTTCATTTTTCTCTACTTTTAATTAAAAATGAAAAAATTATACATTTTTGTAGATCGTGGCCTTCGTGTTTCTTATCTTCACTTTCCAAATGGGGAAAAACTTGAAAAGAAGTATTTTCCTGAACTTTTTCCAGAATTGATTGTACCAGATTTGACAGATTGCAAAGTGAGTTATAAATTTATTTATTTATTTATATTTATACAGAAGTAAAGTCTTACAAGACTTGGGCTAACCTAAACCCCACAATAGCAAAAATAAATACTCCATTAAAAACTCTACAAAAATAAACCAGCAATGAGTTTCTCAACTTTCTTGGCAACATTTAAAATTTTGGTTGTCATATTGGGTTTTGGTTACCATCTGTTATCATATTTTATTTAAAAAACTTTTTATATTTTTAACTATTATAAAATGCCAAAATGTTAATTTTGAAGATAGGGATGAGTTTAATAAAAAAATTGTAAATTCTAATAATGAGCAAAATTGTCATTAAGTCCGATGTACTGGAGATACACACGATTCCCATTATCTCTCCATCACCTAGACCAGTGTTTCTCAACGGGGGCGATATCGCCCCCATGTGGGCGTTTTTCCATGTTCAGGGGGCGATTAGCAACAATTTATATTTTGGGGGCGAAAAACAATTTTCTGGGTGATATAGTAAAACATTATATTGAGAATAATTAGATATTTTATTTGTTATATCGTACAATAATTAAACAAATAACATTATACTAGTCACTAGTCTATTCAATGCAGTACGAATTTGGCGTTAGCCTTGTTCCTTGGCATCGGAATTTTGTAGTGAAGGGGGCGATACTACGTAACGGTACTACGTTGAAGGGGGCGATGGTTCGTTAGAGGTTGAGAAACACTGACCTAGACCATGGGTTGGTCGGCAACTGTTTTTTTGTAAAGAGCCATTTTTAGAATTATATTTACCAAAGTAATACTTACAGAGCTGCAAGTCAGTAACTTGAATTATGAAATATAAATTTTTGAAAATTGAACCTAAAACGTGTTTTTTTGTTTTTTTGTTAAAATGGATTTTATTTGCACTTTGCTTAAAGGTGCTGTAATAAAATGCACTGAAATTCAATTACTTATTATCAATGTTACAATAGTCATAATTATTAAAGTAAAAAATAAGTGATTTTAAACATTCTTACAAATAAATTAACATTTTTCTATGGTCAAACAGTATGCTAGGATTTCAAATATTATATATGTTTTTGAAATTCGAAGTTCATATAATTTCATAAAAGAAAGTAATCCTTTAAAATTTTAATAAATGTAAATTAAAATTCCTTTAACCAAAGGAATTTGACCCTACAGAAACAAAATGTAAAGTACATGAGAAATTTATAACTCTTTCTGTTTAACTATAAACATTCTCACGATCAAACTGTGCATAGTTTACACTTACAGGCAATTTCGTCGTATTGTTGTCATTCAATCACTACCTTTCACCCCACACCTGCTAAAACAATTGATCACCTGACTAATTTTCCCACCACAAAACGTATAAAAGCCCGACACCTTCCCCTTATCGGGGGGAATCACCGAACGTTGAAGTCAGACATCGCCTTCTCCATCACAGCCCTACACTCCCATCGCAGACCTACACTTTCGTCGCTGACCTATACTTGTGTCACCGCTCAGAATCCATTTGGACGACATTACGGGAAAATATCCCACTAGTATATGCAAAGAGGTATGAACACTTATTATTGTAAACTCTCTCTCTCTCCGCGAAGTCTAAAAAGTTTTGTAAGATTTCATTTAGTTAGTTAGGTTAATAAACTCTTGTTTTGTTTTTTAAATGGTGTCGTTACTCGACTTTGCCAACGTCTTATCGTCGACCCCTCTGACTCTCCTCCACTTGCGTAACACGTAACAGAACGTAACGCCATCCTTGACAAGAAAGTAGGTCACCAACCTGTGGCAGGCAAGGAGAGGACCTTCTTCCCTCCCCGGTGGCTCACATGTTTAACTTGTATGAATAATAAAATTAAAATAGAAAACTTCATAAAAAAATAAGAACAATATATAATTTCTAATCAGATTTTTGTTGCTGAATTTCTTAAGAAGTTTGTCAAAATTTGGTAAATATGATGTTACTTTCATTTTCAAACAAGATGGCACACTCACACTGTTCAACTGATTTCTTAGTTTATTTTTAATAAAATTCACGTTTGAAAATGTCTGTTCACAAAAATATGTCAATCTGAAAATCAAAAGGTCCAAATGCATGTTTTTAATTGAATATAAATATCAGGCAAACTGTTTCAAGTATCAAAATCAACTTGACCTTGCCTTTTAAGATTTTCTATGTCAGATTATTTATGTTGTGCAGCAAAAGTAGATTTCTGCCTCTCTAAATTTTCAATTTAAATCTCTCTAATTTACTTTTAAGATTTACATATTTTGAACTCCACATTTCCTTGATTTTTAAATCTGCTAATTCTAGTTGAAAAACTACTGGATCAATATCACTAAAAGATGAAATATTCAAATTGGTAGAATTGATTTTGAGTAGCCTCAATAAAAGCAATAAGGTTGCCTTTTTCTTTCTAAACTCTTTAAATCTCTCACCAAATTTCGATTCCATATTTACCACTATTTGTGTGAAATATGTTAAATCTATTGAAATATGATCCTATTGATATTTCTTCAACATAGGAAAATGTAGCAATATACTTTTCTCTAAGTTTGTGGTAAACAAACATAATTTTTGTTCAAAAGCAAGTACTTCTAAAAGCAAAATAGCTGTATTTCCCTTCACTTGCAGTTTCTTGTTTAGTGTGTTTAAATGTGAGATCATGTCCATCATAAAATAAAAACTTTGTAACCAATTGTGATTATTGAGCTCAATGTATTCAAAATCTTTTTGGTTTAAAAATAATTTTATTTCTTCAATGCAAGAAGCAAATCGCATTAACACTGCTCATCTGGAAAGCCACCTTACTTTATTGTGTAAAAGAAGATCAGAATATTGGCTATTGACTTCATTAAGAAGTTCACAAAATTGCCAATGATATAATGGTCTTGCTATTATTTTGTTCACACTTTGTACAACCAGGTCCATAATTAATGTTATTTCCTTTGGGAAGGTTTGTGAACAAAGTGCCATTTGATGGATTGTTCAGTGAAAAGAAAAAATGTTGTGCAAAATTTGTTTTTTAAACATAGAAACAAAACTTTCTTTTCACCTTTCATACTTGATGATCCATCGGTTGAATTGATACTATTTTATTAATATCAATATTTTTATTTTTTAAATAATTGGTAACAGCAGATTCTATATTATCCTCAAGTTTGTTCTGTAAGTGGCAGTATATCAGGTAACTCTTCCTGAGGTCTGTCAGAGTTAACATATTTACAAATAAGTACAATCTGTGCAATATCATTCACATTGCAAGATTCATCACAGGTAATAGAAAATCCTGGTGTTGAACCTAACCTGCTGACTAGTTACATCTTCTGCCATATGAACAGTTCTATCTCTTACAGTCTTAGCAGACAATCGCATGTCTTTTATTTTAGCAATTATTTCTGTTTTATTTTTAAAATTGTAAAAAAGATATTCAGACATTTTAATAAAACAATCTTTCACAAAATTGCTATCCATAAAGGGCTTTCCCCATTTCACTATTTCTAGAGCAGCAACAAAACTATCAGTAGTTGTATTATTACTTGATTTTATCCAATTAGAAAATGTACCTTCACTTAAGTTCATTTTATGTTCTACTGCCTTTCTTCTTTCTTCTCCCTCTCTATTAGTGTTTGCAAATGCTTCATGTTTATTTAAAAAATGCCTTTGTACATTTAATTTTAATTTTTTGTTATTAGAAAACTTTTCTTGACATATTAAACACACTGAGAATCCTGTTAAATTTGCAATAATTGAAAAGGATTCAGTCAATTCACTTCTAAATTCTCAATTTTCTTCTTCTACTTTTCTCTTTTTTTCCAGTCATATTAAATATTACTTTCAATACTAGAAGAAGCTTGTATTTAATATTTTTCTTTTGCACACTATAATATTTAATGAACTAAACATGAGTAAATAAGAACAGTATAAAACTGCCAAGATGACATAGTTGTTCATGCCACCATTTTTAAATTAAATCAGGCAGGAGAAACCACATTGGAGTATTCATGATGGTTCATGACTCTGATTTTATGTTTGCCTTATAGTTGCAAGATGTCTCCACAGGTTATATTTTTAGACAAAACCATGAGGGCCATAGATGAAACTGTCTGAAGATGCTCACAAAATATTACAATATGACACCACCCCTTAAGTGTCATCTGCTAAAGTGCTAAATTCTACCTTTGCCAGGTTAGTTTGGCATGTTTTTCTCAAAGTGATAGTCAATTATTATTATTATTAAGTTTTGTTCTTACTCTGATAGTGAAGTGTTAAGTGATTAGTGAAATTAAAAAGTTTTTAAAAAAATATTAGTGGAGTTTACGAGTTATTTTTTTCTTTTACTTAAATTTAAAATTTTATTTTGTTATATGTATATTATTTACTAACTTGAAAAGAGCTGAAGGTTGCTGACTTCTGTTCTAAACATTTAACCACCAAAATTTAATTACATCAATCCCCTATAAACAAACCTCCCTGTAAAATTTCAAAAATTTTCAACAAAAAATACACGAATTATTAAGCTTCAAACAGGGTGAACAAAATTATGCACCCCTCCACATACACAGATTATCCCCAAATTTTTTTGCATTTCTTGACATTTCAAAATGTCTTAAATCCAAAAATGTAAAAATCTTGGGGGGTTATTTTTTGACCAATTGCCATACTTTCTCTCTGTTATATATAACAGCCATGAAAGTAACAGGTATAAAAGAGAAAAATAACAACACGCAAAAGTACAAACTAAAATTGAAAACAGTAAAACTGAGTCTACAAAGACTGCTTAAAAGCAATTAAGCCCATTTAAATTTGAATAATATGACGACAAAGATTTTTAAAATGAGAGATATTATAAAACAGATTCTTCTATTTGTTTAACAAAGAGAACCAAGTAATAAAAAAGGCCCTCTTAGAGATAGCTGGATGAAAATAAAGAACACTGCATTTCATATTGCAAGTAACATGAACAGGAGCATGAACTCAACATGAACTCAAATTGAATTTGAGTTCA